ACGTTGAGCTGCCCTGGCTCTCCAGGGAAGACTCTTTGCTCAGGCTGCAGTAATAGTCCGAGGGGGGCTGGTGGCAGGGGCCCCCCGGGGCAGGGCAAAGCGTGGGCAGGAACCGCCCGGCCAGGTTGCTCTCCCGGGAGCCCAGGGGGCTGCTTGGCGTCTCTGGAGCAAACGGGGCAAAGTCCTGCAAGTCCGAGGTGAGGGCCAGGACGCTCGAGCGCAAGGAAATGGCGGCAGGGGATGTTGTAGCGTGGGCAGAGGGAGCCTTGGAAGCCGCAGGGACTCGGGAGAGAGGCAGCACAGTGCCTGAGCGGTTAATCCACAGCAGGAAGTCTGCGGAGAGAGAACAGGCATCAGCGCCGGGCCCGGAGACCCCCCTGCTGATGGGACATGGGCTCGGGGACCTGCGTGCCCCAGGGTGGGAGATCGTGCCAGCCAGCCCCGCAGACAGGAGCGCAGAGGGAACCCCCCGCCGCACCGCCCCCGCTGATTTTTCCTGTGCAGTATCCCGGGGGCAGCACCTCGTCCTGCCGATAGCACTCCTCTCCCACCAGCTGCCGCAGGGCCTCGGCCACCAGCCCCTTGTAGCTGAGGGGAAAGAGAAGAGTCAGAGGACTCACCGGGGAGGGCCCCCGGCCCACCCCCCCCAGCACTGCCCACCCGCGTTCTCCCTCCGAGCACATCTGCGCAGAGACGTGAAGGCCCCTGGGAGCGAGAAATAAGGAGAGCCTTTAGCTTTGGGCTCTGCCGTTCTGCGGCGGGGAGGGGACACACTTCAGCTCATTCAGCAGAGAAGGTCCTCCCAATATCCCTACACCAACAGCACATTATTCTTCACCGAAAGGGTTGTCAAGCACTGGAGCAGGCTGCCCAGGGATGTGGTCGAGTCACCATCCCCGGAGGTATTTAAAAGACACGTAGACGTGGCGCTTAGGGACACGGTTTAGCGGTAGGCTTAGCAGTGTCAGGCTGATGGTTGGACTCGATGATCTTAAAGGTCTTTTCCAACCTAAATAATTCTATGATTCTATACTGCTCCTCTACGGGCTTTGGAACTCACATATGGGCCTGTACCCCAGCACCATCCTCAGATGGATCCTGCCAGAACAAGGTCACCCTTGTGAGTCCCAAGCGATGCCGCACTGCCCACCTGCAGCGGTGGAGGCCACCGCTCTCCCCGCCGAGGGCAGTCC